CTGGGTACATCTAATTTTGCTGTGTCGTCTGCTCATACAGAGCTAGAAGGAGTTTTTTATCCACTTTATTGTTCAGTAGAGTGGCAAGTGGAAACACACCTTCTTTTTGTACTTTGAAAAAGAGGGTGGTTACAGCACCTACACAGTGCTTGACTTTTGATAACACTTAATATGCTTGTGAAGAGTATTTGACATTTTTGAGATTGACGATAAAAATGTAAAACAGAAGTCCTAAAGAATTATAAAAGAAACAAGATTCTTAGCTGCTCCTTGCTCCTCATGATAATTTTTCCCCTTGCAGTGAGTGGCTAAAGTGGTAAGAGCAGCACAGACTAGAAAGTAATTAAGGCTTCTTCTTTAATGAAACAGAAAAAGAAGATAAGTAACATTTGCATTTTGTGATGGCTTCTTTATGGTAAATGAATTGCCGGATGTTTGGTATTGATGTATTGCCGTTGATTTCCTTTAGTTTCTTGGCCAGGGTTGTAGCACAGATTACTATTGTCTCACACATCTGCTAGAGGATGTGTTTCCATTTTACCTTCTCTCTCACAAACATTTGAATAACTTCCGTATTGTCCGGTTGTACGTGTGTCACATCACCGCCGAGATGAGAGATGTTTCTGTAGGTGTTCAGAGCTCTTGAATGTGCTGTGTGTATTTGTCTTTCTCACTGACTGTCCCATCTGTGCACTATATGCCCACTTTTTAACTGAATAATTAGTAGTGAGGAGCATGATTTAGGAAGAATATTTTCGTTCCGTTTTAGTGGTTACACTATCATTTCTCTTGAATGATTGTGAGTCATGTATCTGCCTGCCAGTAAGACACAACAAGGCAGAAGTAATGTCATTAGGGAGGAAACCCATCAGAACATTTGCATTTATTGGTCCAAATCCTGAAGCATGCTGCACACCTTTTTCTCCTGGTAAGGCTGTTTCTACTTGAAGGTGCTGAGTAGGTTCTTCGTTCTTTGTCATTCGTTACTAGAAACCAAGCATAACGTTTGGTATGCGTTTACTGTGATGTAGGTAACCTTTTCACACAGTTGCTTTATGCCCCTGTGCTTCCCTGAGAGTTTTAGAATATGTGGGAGGTTGCTACTCTCCTAGCTAGGAACAAGCTGGCATTGTATTTTAGTTTAGGGAAACTGCTGTTTGCTTTAAAAAAAGAAGCTATCTGCTTCTGAAGTTCCTGTCCTTCCCAGATGGAAGTTATATACATTTAAACAGACTCTGTCTGTGTGTAAACAATGCAGAGGTGTGCATTCAAAGGTATGGGCTGTGATAGAGAAAAGTTACGTTAAAAGATTTAAACCAAGTTTTGTTTAACCCAACTTATTATGAGACCCTTTTTTTCTTCTAGATAGAATTATCTAGATAGTATGTTGATAAGATAAATGTAATGTACTACAGTAATGGAGCTGTATAGACAAACTTTGTCACGGTATACTCATCATTACTATACTAGTCTTTCAGACAATATATTTCCAAGCAAAGTAGCCTGTGTTCTCTTTAACTGGTCAGTAATGCAATCGTAGTGAGGAAAGTAACATTAGAGGTGGTTGGAGAAAAAAAAAATGGTCAGGATGTGCTGATTTAACATAACATTTTGATGATTTTTAGGAATGTATATCCACTTTCATACTTTTCTGTAGTCATTTGCAACAAAGATCCAGAATATGATATCCTGAAATGATTTCTGTACTCTCATGGCCGTGACATTTCTCTTAATTCTGTATACGCTCTTTACAGTTTTAGTTCTAGTTTTGCTTGAAAGGCGAGTGATTGCCCAGCCTTATAAGGTAACAGTCTCACATTGCTACTTCAGATCATCTTTGTTAGTATAAATCCACTTGTAGAGCTAAAACTAGACCTGAATGTGTAAAGAAAACAGTTTGTATGGTTTGTTTTTTTATTCCCCTTTCATTTAGTACTACAAATACTGAGCATTTCGGTACTAAACTTGTTATGTTCATGTCCTTAGGCCTTGCATTTGAAATTGGCCCTTCGCTAAGGTAATACTCACTTTCTTTGCATGGGTTAGAGGATGAGCAGTGGAGATGTGTGGTTTTTAGCTGTGCAGCTCATGTTGATGGCTCTCTGCTCTTTGGGAATACTTTTGATGTAGGAGCAAATCCAAAGGAAGTCTGCTTTCGTAGTAAAAGGAGGAAAGGGAGACAGGATATGGATGCTAAACTGATCAGGAAGCCAGCCTTCCTTCCTTCCTTCCTTCCTAGTGTTAGTTTGGCATACGTCATGCAGTAGGATGTCATTTTTCACCTTGGATCCCTTCCGTATAACTTTTTTAGTTACTACTATTTAAAATGACATTTACTGTTGGTTACCCTAACTACAATCAGAAACAGATTGTGCCACTAGCAGATTCTATAAAAATGCACAAGACGATATAGACCTACCCCTGACAGTCCTATAGACTACAAATTAAAAATAAAGATGAGGGTGAAGGGAGGAAAAGTTGTATCATCTGGACAAAGAGATATAATACTTTGTTGGCCTACTTTGGGTGTTTTTTTCCTGATTTGTTCTGTTTCGTGTTATCTGCTGATTGTTTTCCCTTATTTATGTCTCTCTCACATTTATACCTTCTTGTTATTGCTTAACTAAGTTAGTTTTGCTTCCTGTTTTTTAAAGGACTAGTAAGTTGAATGGCCACCTTATAAAACTGGGGAAAGGACATACATAGTTTTATTCTCATTAGATAGTTGCCTGAGATCAAATTGTAGATCCTTTATGCCGCTGTGAAACCTGTCTCAGGTGCAGATTGGTTGGAGGTGGGAGGGACAAGCAGTATATTAAAATCCAGGAGGCAAGTAAAGAGAGTACAAATGCGGAGCAATATCATCGGCATTGCCCTACCCCTGGGGAAATACCTTATTTAAAAGCTAATTCATGTTTTTAGGGGTTGACTCACCTTTTGAATGGACTGATGGTTGACAGTGGTGGAAGTCAGTAGACATTCATATGGACCCATATACAGAAGAGAGGATTAAAATAAGGTTAAAAGTCAGGAGGGCAGCAGAAAATTATTCAGGCGTGCATAGTGGAGAAATAAGGGTAAAAGCATAAATGAAATCAGTGGAAAGGGGCTCCTTGTTGAATGGGCTCCTTGTTAAGTCCTTAAAGATGATGGGTGGCTGTTTGGGAGAGTTGTGTAAAATCTGATATTTTCTGCAAAGCTGGTAACTCTTGGGGTACTGAATGCTATAGGAACACTGAAGTATCAGGAAGCGCTCTAGGAGGAAAAGGAACAAAGGAATGAAGAGAGAAAAGCAATAGGATGTTGCTTCTTTGTGGAGGGGTAAAGGATGGAGTGATTGAGTCCGTGGCAGCTGGGGAAAAGTGTCAACCTTGATGTTAAACTTGACCTTAATAACACATGGAAAGGTAGATTATCAAGATGACATCGTGCTGAGTTACTTCCCCCCACCATGCACATGGAGAGAGCAACATTTCTTTCTCTCTGGCTTTCCTGTGAAGTGCTAATCTCTCTGCCGTGTTTTATCTTCCTAGGAAGGCTCTTCACTGGCTATGAAGCGCCCTTTTCAGCCCTAAAATACCCATTTCCCTCTCCACTGTGGTCCGTTTTTATGAATGTGTGCTGACAGGAGCTGCTTGTGTCCTGCAGGGACAGGAAACCAGCAACCCCCTGTCCTCGGCCACATTTCCAGAGTGATGTGCTGAGGTTGGGCAGCCAACTGCAGAGTGATCTCTGAGCTAGCTAGGAAAGGGAAATTCAGTCAGTAGCTCTCCATCAAATCAACAGGACGGAGAGGAAACAACAACTGTCTCAGATTAAAAATCAAAACCAAACAAAAAGCCCTGCTTCAGGGTTTAAACACCCAGGTGGTGAGTTACTGTTGCCCTTCACAATTTGATTATTGCTAGCTCTCATGATTTGACTGCAAGGCAAGCAATATTTGTTTCAGTAACAGCCTCAGTTTCTGGAGTCAGTGATTAAAGGAAAATCTCAGCTTTCACTTAAAAATAAGTCCAGCATTTGTAGCTGTTGAGAGAAGGTTGGAAATGTGATGTGAATTATACCATAGAGGCTTTGAAGCTAGAAAACAAAGCAGCAAATTAAAAAGTCCTTAATTTATTCCATTTTTTCAATCTGCGGTTGTTAACAATCCTCACTAGGTTTTTGGGGGCTGCCTTAGATTTTCAACACAATGCTGCAGAGCAAAAATCAGAGGAACATTCCTCTAAGACTTTAGGTAGAAGTTCCATGCAAACGTCTCTATAGATTTTAAGCAGTCAGTTGAGGAGATGGGAAGAGAAAAATTATTACTCTTTATATAAATGCCCAGCATTGTTGGATATATCTTGACGTTACACATAAATATACACATTGCTATATACACACTGCTATAACATATCAGTAAGTAGGGTAGGGCAGTACCTACTCCGGCTTTGGCATTGTCCCCGATAGTATTTGTGGGCTGCAAACTTAGCAAAATTGGTTCACTCTTAATGCCAAGAAGAGGTTTTGTCAGAATTATGAACTGTGATGTTTGTTCCAAGGCAAAATTCTCTTTTTCTTTTTAAATCTCTTTAAGGGATTCAGAACGAAGTCACAGAAGAGCGTGCTCATCCAAGGAGAACAACTGAGTGTGTTTAATTATTCTCATTGGCTGGCTCAGCAATCGGCGCAGAGTGTGCTGATTGTAGAAAATGCTACCTTAGAAAGCACGCCATTAGCAAGAACGTTAGGTTTATTTTTGTAAATCAGATAGGCACATTGCTTCTTGTTGGTGTTAGATGTCCAGCTGCTGTTTTAATAGAAGGGTTTGCATGCATAGTCTGCATCGTTTCTCTTTGCTCTGACCTCTTGTTATGTTATATTCAGAGAGAGGGGAGGATTTTTTATTCCTTCCCTGCCCCTATAGCAATTCTATTGTACACTGACAAATAAAAGCAAATACTTTTCCTGTTCCTGTCCTGTAACCCTCTAAATTACTTGTTTTCTTTCAAATGCAGATTTCAGTAATGTACCTGATGTCACAGCCAGCTTGAAAAGGAGCAGTACTGATGGCACTCTGGACCAAGTGCCACACAGGGAAAAAACTGATCCAACTTTCAGGGTAAGAACATGTTTGATGTAACGATCATTATAATTAAAAAGACGGTGTTGTCTCAGTGTTAGCACGCTGTGTTTTGTGGGGAAGAGCATAATGTATGGCACAAATCTGGTAAAAATTTAAATGTGTACTTGTAGCTGTGCTTAGTGTTTTATTAACCTGAGATCAGTCTGGCAGGTCAGCATCTAAGGACCAGACTGTCAAATTCGTCTGTGTGTGTTGCTTGAACTTAGATCTTGACAGAATAGTAGAACTGCTGCTGCTTTTTAATTGGTTCAGTTTGGTTAGTTTTCTTTTTGCTGATTCCTTTGGGGCTTGTTGTTAGGATGTTAAGCTTGTCATTAATGATGTTAAGATTGCAGTGACCGTAGTAACATCTCATGTCAAGAATTTTTGACTGGACCACAGTCTTGAGCGGCTCAGGGTTTGACTGTACCAGTGAATGGTACAGTCTGATCTGGAGCACCGTTATACCTCTGCAGTTACCATTTAGCTTCAGCTGGAGTAATGGATGCTCAGAATTTCTTTATTTCTTTAGATCAGGACTACTTTGGAGACTGAGGTGAGGACCCCCAAAATTAGTGTCCACCTTTGAAAGCATTGCTCTGGAAATGGCAATTTTTTGTTGTTATCGCTCAGAGAGTAAGTCCATCGAATTGTAACCTGTGTCCCACTCAAGCGCGTATTTTCTTGTCCCACCCAAATACTGGTATGGATAATGTGCGCGTGTCTGTGGCTGTGGTTTTACTAGGCATTGCCGTTTTGGCAAAGGATATGTTTTTGTTACTTCTGCTGATGAGTTGGTTGTGTCTCAGAGCGGATGTGTGATAACAGTTGTGTTACACTATTGGGTCACAGAAATTAAATTGCAGTTTTTATGGTTCTGGAGCATATTACCATTTGCACTAGGTTGTACAAGATAATCAGACGAAACCTAAAGATACGGCTAAATGTAAAAACTGTGAAGACTAGAATGAAGAAAGATCCATTGTGCCATACCTACCCAGAGGAGCTGACCCTCCTTTACTTTTGGAATTTTTCTGTAATCTCCTTCAGTCCAATACAGGTGCCAGTGTGTGGTTTCCCCAGTGACTGTGGATCTTTAGCCCATCTGTGGGTTCCCACAGGGCTAATCTATATCCTGTGTTACAGGCCGGTTACACCCCCACAGACTCTTTGCAGCCAGGAAAGTATAAACTGGATTTGTCCCCTCCAAACACCTTGTTCCGTTGGGAGGGATGAGGTAGCCTTCTGTACTGTCCTGCTTTAGGGGAGTGTGTTATGTTCTGGGGTCAAAGCATCCTTCTTTGTGAGCACACAGCATTAGATCAGTCCCGGGCTCAGTGCAGGAGGACCTTGCCGCTGGCTGCCTGAGGCAGTCCGGCGCTCAGCAAAGGTCTGGCAGGCCCTTCCTTGGCCTCGGGAAACCGGGGCGCCTGCTCTCCTGGCCGCGTGCTGCCTCGAGCCTGCGGCAAGGACGTACGCAACTGAGCCGTACACATATGGCTGGGGGGGGGAGAGATTTTTGTACTTCAGCTTTGCTTTAGTAGAAGAACAAAGGATTTGTTTGCCAAAGTCATTCCTGGCTGCCTGTGTCAAATATACTAGATGACAGAGAATTAGGGAGAGCTTGGCAGTATTTAAATACACAGGGAACAATTAATTTACAGTAGTTGTTGCTCTGAACGCACTATTCAGATGCTCTAAACTGTGTGCTGCAATTGCAGTTCCAAAGTAAAGCGGGGAATACAGACAGGTCTGTTCCCTGGCCTCTCTCCAGTCTCAAATCTGTCACGTCTATCAGTATTACTAGATTGTGCACAGTTTCTTGAAGTAACTGCCCATACCATATTGCATTTCAGTTCTTGGGATGACATGCAGGTCTACTTGTGTCGTTTTGTTAAAAATGAGCTGAAGCTGCCCTGGTTTTCTAGGTGCAAGGGGGAAAGCAGTTTGGCAATCAAAGGCAATCAGACTTGAACTGCAGCTGTAAATGAGCCTGCGACAGCTCTACAATTTCTGCAAATGGTTTGTAATTGATTGTCATCTTTCTGTTGGAGAGTGCCTATTACTGTCAGAGCTCTTTGTCTGACCCTTTTGATTTTTCCAATAAATGTAGAATTCAAAAAAAAAAAAACCCACGGTAAATTTAGGAAGTAGCATCTACTCTATGTGCTCTAGCAATTGGTTGTAAAAAGGATTTAAATGATTTTTGTTTTTATAGCTGTGATTTGGGGCTGCTCACCACATGAACAATAGCTATTGCTAATAAAAGCTAGTTTGAGGAAACTGTGCAGCCTCAAAGAGCACAGCATCTGGATTTGAGCTCCCCCTCACCCCCGCCTTGCCTTCTGTTTCCTGCATGTGCTAACTTGATCCATGCCTATGGTAGAAGAGTAGTGCAGACACCTCAGTATTATGCAATGTCACAGAAGCATGGGGGAGAGAAGAGCTGTAACTACAGCGTTGTGAAGAAGACGTTGGTGGCGCTAAGAGGTTCTGAACGCAGCTTGGAACAACAGGCAGTTTGGGATTATTTCAGGGGAGAGACAGCTAGAGATGCTCATTTCCCAGCTGACAACAGCTGTAGATGTAATCACTTGGCTCTGAAGGAACAGACTCCTTTGAAGTTTGGTTGATTTTTTTTCCCTTATAACATGTAAGTAAACAAAAAACAATCTTAAAGCTTTTGATGTAATGGTTGCATGTTTGATTCCTAGATTTTGTGTTTCTCATTTGGAATTTTTTTTTTGTTTTTCACTCTTATCCTTTTCATCTTATACGAAGTTAAGGTTAAACATCAACTTAAATGAAAGCCCGGAGAGGCATTTCAGAAGTGCCTGATAATTTGAAAGGAATAAGTCTTTTATTTCATTTGTACTACAATCAAACATGCAGTCATTCGTTCATTCTTTATTTTGGTCATCGAAGAAATGAATGAATTTAGGATAGTATTGTTTTTCTTTCATCTTAGAGCTAGCTAATGAATTAGAAGTGTGATAGAGGATATTTCATTCCAGAAATGGAACCTGTTCCTGAAGTCATATTAAGAAGTTATTAAGAGCACATGAACATCAAGTGTCATCCATTCCAGATGCTCATCAGTTTTGTCGTGTCTGTAGTTTCTGGGATGCCCCGTTTATACCCTTAATGAAAACCTCCTTTAACTTCATTTCCAATTTTTTTGACAAGGATAGATGTTATGCTTCTAACGCGTTCTGCTGCAGTGCGTTTTCAAACTGTGTTCAAATACTGTTTATGTGGCAGCGCCATGTAGTCCTTGCGATTGTTATTTCTGCAGTATGTAGGCGTACTGTTGACAGAAGAATAGAGGACCTCAGAAAATCTGGGGCTGCAATATGACTGCCAATGCAATTAGGTTTAGTTGAGCTTAATCATTTCGAGAACTAATTGTCTGTGCTTCTGGTGCTTAGTTAAATCCTGGTGTGTTGACAGTTGCCAAGAATCAAGCATCACAGTAGCACAAAGCTGGATACAAAATGTAACTTTTCAGTTAGCTGCTCATGATTTCTAATTGCCAGCTGTATTGATCAGTAATGTTTTCTCTAGCTCACAGTTTCTTTTAACAAGGAATTCAGGAGTCTGTTACTAACTTGCTTGTTTTTACTTCATATTTTCAATATTTTTTGAATATCCCTTTATGAAAAATTAACACAACTAAAAGGTGAAATTTTACCATGCAAGTCACTCACTGTTCTAAGGGTTTCTTGTAAGATTGCTGTGACCTGACTTTCAGCTGCTCTAAATCTTTTGAGTATCATCAGAGATCAGTATTTCTCAAATCAAATAATATTTAAACAGAAGGAAAGAAAGGTCTTCATATAAATGCATCTGTGAGAAAGGGAAGATATATTTTCATTTTGAATATTATACAGATTATCGCAAAAAAAATTAGAGTAAACGGCTAATGTTTGAAATAACATTACTGTTCTCTCAGGCATATCTTAGAGTTCTTTATAAAAAGATGAGTAACTTAAGATATTTAAGAAACCCGATAAAAATAGTTAATGTGATGCTTTGTAATCATGATAAAAATAGTCAGTGAATGCAGAGTGGTTTTATGTTGGAATCTTCAAAAATTAACATTGCAGATGCAAAAATAGAAGCTCATGTGATGAGAAACTTTGATTGGTGACAAGATTTTTGCTTTCTGCATAATGCCCAGCAGGTTTACTTTTGTAAAGTTTTTGAAGTGGTGCTCTGTACCATTCGAAAAATGAAATAAAAATGATACTGGGAATAAATTGGGTATGAGAGACTCTTACAGAAATTGTCTTTGCTTTGCTGTGCTAATACTTCTTGAAATAGTTGATCTGCTCTCAGAACAGGTTATTGATCATACTCCAGTATGTCTGTATCGGTACAAGTCTACATCTCCATTGCCACTGACAAAAAATAAATAAAAAATGCTACACACTGCAGAGGGTGAAAAATAACTTTTTTTTCTTGGGAGTAGCATTCTTAATGCAATGAACAGAAATGCTGGTTAAAAATCATGGAACACCTTTTCCCATCATGGGCTGCTTCAGATTAGCTCAGCTCACCCCTTCTCTACTCCTCTTTAACAACAATTTTCACTTTCCCTTCATCTGGTGAAGAAACGAATAACTTACCGTAAGTATTGTCAGCAGAACACATGGAACATTTTGCAAGCAGAAATCTTCATTTCCTAGTAGGGTGGAGTATTTTCATCAAAAGCTACCAGCTTTCTACAGAGAGGAGGTATGGGTCAGTGTAGTGACCCAACTAGAAATTTCCTTATTTATTCTATAGATACAGAGAAAGTGAAAGTAGAAAAAATACGTTGCACATAGATGTGCATTTCAGAAGACTGCTTTTGGACACTCTAGTGTCCTGTATATTGTCAAATCATCCTTTCAGTGCTTTTGAAGCTTGCTTATTGTGATACCAATTTTAGACAGTCCTCTATTTGCCAGAGGACCTTTGCAAGGATAATGAGAACTAGATGTTTTCAGGAATGCAGCATGCCAGGAGCCATGGTGAGAAATCTGATTTTGGGCCTCCCTGTGTCCACTTATCGCTCTGGACTAGGAGTACAGCCTTGGTGCTCATGCTCAAGGCGCCAATGTGCAAATATTGCTAACCTGGGTGACTTGATATTTTTCTTCCAACCCATCTAAAGTGAATGTGCAATTGAGCGTCTGGTTTGCATGTTGGATGGTGCCTGAGCAGTGTAAATGAAGAGACTGAGGCTGCATCAGAAGGCAAAGCCCTTCCTCCCACTGCTGGATCATCCAGCCACCACCACCACTACTTCTGGGAGCAGTGCTTTCAACAGCTGCAAAGTGTGTGTGCCACTATTTCAAAACGGAAATCCTGTTGTTACGTATTGGTTGATTTCACATAGGTATTTCTGTAATAAAAGTCAGTGAATATTTGAACAGGTTTTGCATATATGGTTTTGGCTTCTTGTATGCACCGCTTAGTCATGTACTGGAGGGATGCTCTTCACAAGTTGAAGAAATTCATATTTTCTCTTCGAAGTGTTTAAAACTGGCATGGAAGCCCCTTCATTAGGAGTAGGTACTACAGCCATCAACTTCTCCTGCAGACGAAGTAATTTAAGGGTAAAAACCCTGAGGCACTATGTGTTGGGCTGAATTCAAACCTGAAAGAAAGCATATGCATCCCTTTGCTAGTCCAGCTGAAAACTCAATTGTTATAGAAAATAAAATGTTTTGCTGAGAGGGGGAGCGAAGGGGCAAAAAATTTACCATGGAATAGTGGATGTTGAAGCAGTTAATAATCATTACTCATATAGTCCAATTTTAGTAGAAAACTAATACAACTGTTTCATGTTTATGACAGATAGGAATGCTATTTTATCTTCCAGAAGAAAGCAAATGGATGCTAGGAATGATACATTCCTCTAATTCATTACCTAGAAAACGGTGTACAAGCATGTGATCTATAAGAAGTGCTGTGGGGTAGTCCAGGGCATCATTATCCTAGACATATGCAACAACCTTCTGTTGGCATTGTCAGTGAATGTAGTTCCGTGTATTCGGTTATGGTAGTACATTTATTTATTTTGGTCTGATGATGATACTCATTCAGGAGAACTGAAATAAAGATCATCAGTCAGAAAGACTGTCTATAAGCCGTGGGAGACGGTCTTTCGATTCTGTCTTTTTTAATGGGTAAATATTAAGAATTGTTTTTTTGTTCTTCCCCCAACAAAGTAGCAGTTTCCTAGTATGATTTTTGGATGAGAAAGTTAAAATTTACTGAACTGGAAGGAAGTTTTGCAGTTTAAGGTGCATAAAACCTCAAAACTGACACGTACAAGTTAACGTTTTGATCTCATTTAGGATGATGTGGCTGTGTATGTATGTTCAGCATGTCTGGTGGTTTTTGGGACCGTGTTTTTCTCCGTTCGGTGTAAATGGCATCCTTTCTTGCTAGTCAGCTAGTGATCCCTACCCCCAAAATATCCCCAAAGAAACATTCACCTTGAAGTAAAACTAGGGGGGAAAAGTGTACAGGGGAGTGATTTTGTTAAGCAAAGACTGTAGAATTAGAAAGCAAATACTATTACTGATCATTTAAACACTAATTGTTGAGTTAATTTGAAAGAAAAACAAGCAGAAATGAGCAGAACCTTAATAGAGATCCCTCTGGGGAAAGTAAAATAGGAAGAGAAAACTACTGGTTTGCCCAGATGACCCCAGACCTATTTTATACATGGAGTCAATCCAATTAAATGATGTTCATGGTGATAGCCTCTTATTAGCTCTATTTTGCAGTGCCCAGGCAGTTCACACTTGCACAGCATGTCATTAATTGCAAGAGAACTGTCTGCCTGAAGGTTTACTCACTATCCATAGGATATTAAGGATATTTCCTCTATTTTAATCTTGCAAACTTCTATTTAGCCGTTGATGAGATCCAAAAGCTTAGGGAGAAGTCAGCAATTAACATCTTACTTCTGTTCTGTTTAGGAAAGGGATTTAGCAGTGATGAACGTACTACTCTCCAAATCCTCTCTACTTCTCTGCAATGTAAGTGTCGTTTCATTCCAGATGTAAGATGCGTTTAGGGAGTCTTAAGAGCTAACGTGGGGAAATAGTGTGTTCATCAGCAGTGGTTTTCCTTGAGTCAGTTGTGCCTGGGAGGCACAGTTTTGCATTGAAAGTGTGAAAGAGCCCACTGGGAATTCTGTTAATTATTGTGCTACTCTTGCAGACAGACCAGCGTGTAGTGAGCCCAACCAGTATGGCTGGCTCCAGGGGTAGGGAACTGCAGCTCTACCTCTGCGGCTGTCATGCAGCTTTTAAGCAGCGCTACTGAATATGAGTGCAGCCTTGGCCTATTAGAAGTCCATAGGAGTTTTGTTAATTCATTAGGTTCCTGGATTATATTCCATTCCTCAGAGAAAACACTAAAATTGAGGCACTAGGTTACAGAAGGCTTACTGTAAAATTATCAGTAAACACCTGCTAGTAATCCCAGTCCTGGATTTCACTCTGTTGCATTGATCGTGCAATTCTTAAAATGTGTCAGAGCCACCCTACTAATGGCCTAAAATTCAAATATAACTGTTAACAATGGGGAGCCTTACAAACATGAAGTTGAAAGCATAAAAGCTGCTGCCTCTAAAGTGGAGCCTGTAACTAGACCTGAGCTCAGGCTCTAGAGGGAGAGCTGCATACACTGTTACCGGGGAGGAGACACAAGAACGGAAAGAAACAAAAGCAAAAGTTGTGTGCAGTTCTTGCGTGCAGAGGTGCAAACTTGAGTTGCTCTGTGTTGTGCAATTACATTGGGTTGCTGGAGTTCTTGGGGGAATGTGGTGTTTGTTGTTTTTCCTCTGTCCGAAGGAAAAGTCCCTTCAGAGGTACTGCGAGAGCTTGTCGATGCAAAAGGTGCAGGATAAGGAGAAAAAGTTCTTTTGTGTCAATGCTTACAAATGAAAGAAGTCAGTGAGAGATGAATTACAATGCAGCTTTTCTTTTGTGCTCATCTGGGAAAAATCTGTGAGGCTTACCTGCAGGTGAAGAGAGAAGCGTGTGACAACAGTACTGGTTCACCGCAATGAGATATTGTTAGCAGTGTCTCTGGAGATGCTTTTAACTTCACTGATGAAGGACAGGAAGCTACGTTAGAGTCCGTCACCTTAGGCCTCCAAAGGCACCCCCAGTTACCAGCAGTGCCGGATACAGCAGCATTTCAAATGGTAATCAAAGGCACGGCTGTCTAATCACGCTTTTGACTGACTCAAGGAACTGGATAACCTCTCTGCCAGCTGTAGATTATTTATTTTTTAAGACTGAGGTTCTGTTCAGTTACAGTGCCTGCAGGAACACACACTTTTTTCCTTGCAGTGCAGACAGATTTAAGCACGTGCCTAGGCATGTGCTGTTCCCAGCAGTTACAGCAACACCTCAGCCTTAGGACAAAAAGTCACTATACGCTGCGTAAACTTGCAGTAGAGAATCCCAGACAAATACTGTGTCCTGAGTATCCTCGTATGCTGATTAGACTTTAATCCCTATTTTGAGCTATTAGGAACATGCAACGTCAAAGGTATATCTGAGATTTGCCAAAACTACAAACATCTGCTACCTGCAGCAGATTCTGTAAAATCAAGGATAAAAAAAGATACCTGAAAGGAAGAGGAGGAGAATTAAAAAATTCTGGGATCAGAAATTAATAACTGAGTCCGATATACAGGGAAACCCCAGTAGATTTTCATATTTTGTTATCTGTTATCTGCAGCACTGTGTGCCTCTCTCTCTGCTTGTTAATATACTGCAGGCAGGTAGCCTCAACCTAAACCTTAATTCATATCATGATTATTTTCCTTCAAAACAGCACAATCCTCCTTTAGTGCCTAAACAACACCTCACCAAAACCAAGGGAAAGGTTGGTGTGGAATCCATGGGGTCTTTATCTGTATTTACAGTGTCATAAGTGCATCTTTTAACATTTGAAATGTGACATGCGTGTTATTAAGAGGGAAAGATAAGGGTCAACCTCACCAACTCTAAAGAATGCTCATTGCAAAAATATGCTGTGAAGGATGAATGCAACTGCAAAGATTAATGTCTCAGTGGTTGCCATAGTTTCTAATTCAGCATTCAAGAAAAGTTTTTTCATTCAGCACAAAACTCTTTGGATGAGAACTGCTGCTGGAGTTTAAAAATTAAATAAGAATTCATTTTAAACATTTGGAATGTTAGCTGATTTTTTTGGTGCTGTAATTAAAGCAAATGTCTTCACTGTAGTCAATTCTATTTTGAAAATAACATCTGAAGACATTATAAAACATGTTATTAGTACGTGATAGAAAAGTATTTAGAAAATTTTAAATAATCCACCCACATTTATAAAAAATAAGACTGAGTCCCCTTAAATCACTGTAGAGGGCTGAAGACAGAGTTAAGTATAAGCTTGCAATGCCTAGAGACCACTAGTATCACAGAGCTCACATGGAGTCCAGGCTAAGCACGTGCATATTGTACATGCACGTGCACGTATATACACATATATTTTTGTACATACTGTGTATACAAACTATGTTTCTGCTTCACTGGTGGTCCGGACTGATGTTAAAAATTAGCCTACGAGTGCCCAAAATTCTCCTACAGGCAAGCCACTGTTTCCTTTAATTCAAATTATGCACAGATAGAGCAAAATTAGCCTCTTACCTTCATGCATTAAGGGCAAGAGCAGGATGGGAAACAAACTGTCTCCAGATAAGCGCACCTAGAGATATCAGGACAATAGAGGGAAGCCTCTGTAGGATGAAGGATGTTACTGTTATGGTAACTATCAAGCCTGGTGCCACTAAAATGGAAAGCTGAAAAACAGATGTCTCTAAAGGGAATTTGTGTTACTCAGAGCACACAGGAACAAACAACAAGAGTGTGTCATTTTTCCAGTCGTCATAAAAGTATTTCAAGGTGATGATTGATTATTTTAGATGTACGTTTTCCTTAGGAGACCTCTCCTTGAAGAGGACTTGACTGTTGCATGCTTCTAAAGAAAAAGAAACGCTAAAGAAAATGCTTTAACTCGTTTGGTTTGGTTTAGTTGGTGGGGTTTTTTTCCTTCCTGTTTTTACTTTTTCTTTTTTTAAAACTTTTTATCCAGGTTCCTCAGTAAGAGTTGGAAGTATTACTAAAACATTGGTTTTTCTGATGAATACACTTTAAAAAAATTTGCTAATTGGTAACATCTTTCAGCTGACATATGGCTAGCTAATAACTCAGGCTTAATTAGCAAGTCTGGGGAAGAATAACTTCCTAATATGGAACTAAAAGACCTGTCATTGTTTTTCATCAGGATTGACGATATTGCTTGGACCTGCATTTCAGCAGGCTTTTTTCCGGTCCCAGTAGATGAGCTGTGCTTTTAATACGTAACTGTTAACAACAATGGAGCTTGATGTTGCCATAACTCATGCTGACAGAAAATGAAGAAACAGTACTTTTCCAGCCACTACAGTTGTACTCTAATGAATGAACATGGAGCTGATGGCCTGGCTTGTGTGACATTTCAAGTCCATATGCTGTATTTTAAACATTTAACTTTTAAAGACCAGTGGGTTTTTTTATTTATTTTCAGACTTGGTCTGTGGATGCCTAGGATCTGTGGGCTACTTCAGAGGCAACCACTAACGATGGCTAAGAAAAGTAAACATGTACGTGCTACAAAGTAGTCCACGTAATTGGATGTCTAAAACAGGCTGTTGTGTCCGTTGGAAAACAAACATTAGGGACCAGTTAATGTCTCTGTCTCTCCTCCAGAACCATTCCCTTTGGTTTTCTGTTATACAGTCGTCTTGGCCAGGGAATCTGACAACAGCCCAGCGCTAAAAAAAGGCAGCTAAGCAAAAGGTTCCTACTACTTTGATGTATTCTGCTTGCTTTATCAGTGGCCTGTTATTTCAGGGATCCACGATCATTGCTCTTCTGCTAGACTGCTGCTCAGCAACTGAGCTTTCTGATTTAGCAAATGCTGAGCTGTCAGGTTGCACTAATGATTTGGAAAGAGATGGATGGAAGTTTAATTGCAGTAATTAAAGGAGAGGGCTACATTATTTCCTTCCTTATATGAAGGTGAATATCCTTGTAGCCTGTGGAAGAAGCACACACAACCAACGGCAATGCTTGGCATGTCATTTGGATTCAAGGAAAGCGTTTGCAAGAGCGGCATCGGTGATGGAAAGGGCAATGTTGAATGGAGCCTTATATCTCAACATCACTGCAGTCTAAAAGCGCTGAAATGGAGGGAATGTGGGGGTTATGATGTTTATTATTCCTCTGGTGCAGCTCTCACTTTACTAATGAATTGCTTATCAATCTTCTAACCCTTAGCTCTATGGTGTAATGTCCTGTAATGTTTTATTTAAAGTTACCTTTTTGTTAGAACAATCTATTTGTAGACATGATTGTTTTTGTGTAAATGTATCAGCGTGGGGACTTGCACTTTCAAGCATGAATTTATTAATGAGCACAGTTTAAATTGCTTTTTATTGATGTAATTACAATTGGAAAGTTCAAAGAAAGGACAAGCAGAGTTATGTAAACAAAGCATCCAGAGAGCTGCCTATTTGTTTTTCATTTTATCTTTCTAAGTGCATTTTTATGCCGCAGCATTTAGTGGTGAATACCCTTGACAGAGCATCAGTACCACTGAAAATTCACATTGACCTTCAGGGCAGTCAGCACCCTCTAGATATTTTTAGGCATTTGGCTAATTTTCTCAAAGCACCTGATGTTTTGTTTATGCAGTAAATTTCACAGGCACAGAGGAAGGTGCATTTCTGGGGAGGTTTGCTCTTTAAAACCCACGTTCTCTTGCCGTAGCTACATTTTGTCATGCGTTGACTACCTCAAGCTATTTATAAAAAAAATCTTCTTACCTGGCGTGTTTTCACTGCATTTGTAGTAATAAAAGGAGGCATGGCCTCCTGCCTGTGCTCTCGTACGCTGCTTAGCCCAGTTAAACTGGGACGTTGACAGTGTCTCGGATTTTCATTCCTGAGCACCAAAAA